CTCATCCGTAAATTCTGGGAGTGGGAAGAAGTTCCAAATTTGTCCGATCAGAGTTTGTACACCCCAGAACAAGTGCTTTGCGAGAAAACATTTATTGAATCGGTCAATCGCTTACCCTCGGGCAGGAGGACTGTTTCGTTGCCATTCACATACAGTCCCAAAAGTCTCGGAAATTCGTATGAGACAGCCTTAAGGTGTTTTTTGGCTCTGGAAAGAAGAATGGCAAAGCAGCCTGATACACAGTCGATGTACATTACCTTTATGAAAGAGTACATTTCGTTGGGCCATATAAGTGCCATTGAGAACAGTGTACCGAGAGAGCCGCAAATATTTTATACCGTACCAATGCGTGCTAAGGCCACAAAGCATATCAACAAAGTTGAGAGTCGTTTTCGACGCGTCTCGCAAGATGTCGTCACAATTGTCTTTAAATGACATCCTGATGGTTGGTCCAACCATACAGCCATGTCTACTTGTATACTCAAAATTGTTGCGATTTCGACTTCATTCATTCGCCCTGTCGGCAGACATTGCAAAAATGTACCGACAAGTCGAAATCAACGAATCGCATCGCAATTTCCAGCTTATTATTTGGAGAAGCAACTCCACTGAACCACTCCAATTGTATCGTTTAAACACGGTAACATACGGTATTGCTTCGGCACCTTTTCTGGCAATCCGTTGCTTGAAGTACCTGAGTGAGCTACATGCTGCTTCGCATCCTTTGGCATCAAAGTCGCTTGCTAGCGATTTCTATGTAGATGATCTGCTATCTGGAGCAGATACAGTGGAACAATTGCGAATGCTACGGAATGAGCTAGTTTCAGTGATCGAGTCGTTCGGTTTCACCCTAACGAAATGGGCATCAAATTGTGAAACATTTAAAGCGTCGCCTTCTGACGAAATGGTGATCGACCATCAGGAGGATACGAAGACGTTGGTGCTCATTTGGAGCCCGCGTGAAGACGCTTTTAAATATTCGATGTCGAACATGTCGATAGACATTGCCCCCACCAAGCGCTCGATTTTATCGTTTATATCCAGATTGTACGACCCTCTTGGTTTACTTTGTCCGATTATCACTCGACCAAAAATTCTGATGCAAGAAATTTGGCTTCAAAAATCCGCTTGGGATGACCAAATTCCTGACCATTTACTGTCCGACTTGCAGTCAATTACGCAGTCATTTTGTGAGATTGAAGCTATACGCTTTCCCCGATATGTCGGCGTCACCAAAGGCACAAAATGTCAGGTTCATGGCTTTGCCGACGCATCGACAAGGGCTTATGGGTGCTGTATTTACCTCCGAATTGAGCGAGAGCACACAGTAACTGTGAATTTGCTGACTGCAAAGTCGAAGGTAGCGCCGCTGAAGACAAAGCCAGAATACTTGGCTGGTAAACGCTAGGCAAGCGTGCAACGCAATGGTTCGGCAGTGTGTGCATTGTTTTCGATACAAGCCAATACTAGCTAACCAAATAATGGGAAATTTACCTCCTGATCGGATACATGGATGTAGGCCGTTTGAAGTCAGCGGAGTGGACTTTTGTGGTCCAATTCCTGTCACGCGGGGAATACGTGGCAGAGCGCCAGTTAAGTACGTTGCCGTCTTTGTTTGTTTTACGTCCAAAGCTGTGCACATTGATATCGTTTCTGACATGACTGCTAATTCTTTTATAATGTGTTTATCCAGGTTTGTGTTTATGTTTATGTTAGTCTCTCGCTCTCTCTCTCTCTGTTAAGTCAATATCCACATTATGTTATGCTAATGCTAAGCGTTGCACGGCTAGCAATAAACACTTGAAAAATGGAAGTCGACTTGTGCAGTTTGTTTATTTTTTCATTCGCTTGGTTTAGTGCACTGTAGTGCAAGTTAACGCGTTCGCTGTATATAAGTACATAGGGTACTTATATACATATCTACTTGAGTAGTTGCAACGAGGGAAACCTTCACTTTTGCCTACCGACAATTTTTGGATGATCTGAGCGATCAAAGCTAACGTCGGCTGTCCCGACTTTGAAATACTCTGTACATATATTTACAATAATTATAGAAATTAAAAAAATATATTTATGGCTATAACGCATCTTTGTGCAAAGTTTGGTGTCTCTAGCTCTTATAGTCTCTGAGATCCAGGTTCATACGGACGGACATACTGCCAGACAGACAGGGCTAGATAGACTGGTCTCGTCATGCTGATCAAGAATATACAAGGTGTGTTCCAAAGTAAACAGGACTTTAAAAAAAAAAACAGAAAATGTTTTTTCGTCAAAAACAATTTATTTTATTCAAAATAGTCTCCTTCTGCTTCAATACAGCTTTTTGGCCGGTATGGCCGCCAGTATGCCGGTGCAAGGCTTTTGAATGGCCTCTACGTCTGCATAACGCTTTCCTTTCATGGGCAAATGCATTTTTCCGAAAAGGTAGAAGTCACACTGTGTTATATCAGGTGAATACGGCGAGTGGTTAATGGTTAAAATGTGATTTTTGATCAAATAATCGTTCCTTGTTGTTGGATTCTGAGCAATTTTTGGTCGTCAGTCAATTTGTGCGGAACAAACCGTGTACACACCTTTCGTAAACCCAAATGTTCGATCAAAATGCGATAAATCGATGTTTTGGAGATGTTCAATTCCCTTTCCATCAATTTCAATGATGATTTCGGCTGATTTTTGATGAATTCACACACAGTTTCGATGGAATTTTCGGTGATCACGAATTTTGATTGGCCCAGATGTTGATCGTAATTTTTGTCCTCACGACCACTTTGAAAATGTTGAAACCACTCGTGCACTCTGCTACGGGATAGGCAATCATCGCCATAAACTTGTTCCATCAATTGAAACGTTTCGGTAAAAGTTTTACCAATTTTAAAACAAAATTTAGTGTTGGCTCTAGCTCATTTTCGCACCGATAACACAAACATACTGACACTTAAAACGCAATAACTTCACTTCCAATCGATGAAATGTCATGTCACTGGACAATAGATAAAGATAGCAGATTCTAACGCACCAGACGACATATAGATAGCGCCACCAGAGGGCGCTCAAAAAGTCCTGTTTACTTTGGAACGCACCTTGTATATACTTTGTGGGGTCTGCCACGCCTCCTTCTACCTGTTACGCATCGAATTCGTCTTTCACTATGAACAACTGTCAGCTTGCTCGCAGGACAAGCAATTCGTCTTCAGCTTCATCTCAGCGCTTACTTTGTTTGTACCATAAATATATTCTCTCTTTCTGCAGTTCCCTTCAATTCACATTTGGTATACAACGCCTTCTCTTATTTGTGTGGGCTGTCTTGGGTTGCAACAACCGCATTTTCTTGCCTTGCTTGCCCATGTTCATATACATATGTATGTATGCAAATGTAAGTATGTACATATGAGCAAGTGACGTTTTTATCTATTTATGTCTGGTTTCAAGGAGGGAACTGTATTGACAATTTAAATTTTCTCATGTTACAATTCCTTTGTTGTTGAACATGGTTATTTTAAACATTCTGCAGGGGCCGGCAAATCTTATGGCGTGCAGATTTTACATTTTATTATTTAACAATACATTGGTATTGAGCATTTTTATAAGCAACCAACATTATTAGATTAATAATATTGATTCTACATACTTGAATTCTTAATATACCTAAATTCAGTACTTTGCTTTAAAAGAAATTAAATCTTTCGTCTTTTTGGAAATTGATTGTACATTTGCTTTGTAGAGTTAATTTAAAACAATTCTGTTAAAGCAATTATTCCGACTTTTCGATTTTTAGTCTGAAAAGATCGACAAATCGAGTATTCCCGAAACCACCCCGTTCCAAGAATCAATTATCAAGCAGTGGTGTAATTTTTTTTAATCGTGCTAGATGGAATAAATCGTGTAACAATATATACAATTTTTAATTTTCACACCGTGTAAAAATAGAATTAGTTGTACCGTCATTTTACAATTTATTATTTAAATATTGACGCGCACTGTTGGATTGAGATGATAATTTTCCTTAGACTAATGGGGTTATAAGCAAAAAACGATAAAAATAATGATGAACCGCCAATTTTTTAAGGTTTTTATGAGCATTTCCATTCATTTAAAAAAAAAATCCAGAATTCCCGCAATCCCCAATTTATTCCCGCAATTCCCAATTTATTCCCGCAACAGGCCTTACAAAACAGCCAGATTTGACGGGAAAATTGGTAGCCCTGTTAAGGGTGACAGCAATCGCATAGTGATTAAAAATCAAAAATTATCCATAGTGACATCAAAATATCTTATGCGTCAGAATTGGGGCTAAAATGTATATAGCGCGGTCATAAGATGAATGGTTTTGAAGGGCAATACGCCTACGCTAATCAAGGCGCCTCTTCTGTATCATTTGCAACTGTTAAGTTCCGGGCAGCTGATGGAAAATTGTACGCTTAAGCATTAATGGTGAGATACGTCCGTGACGCCCAAAAGCTGTAAAACGGGCGAAAACATCGCCAAAATTCACCAAATGATTCTAGTCAACCGCATTGGACATGTAAAAGCGCACGGCACTATACATTAGCAGTGGCCTTGGCAAAATTCCATTTATTATACTTTGACCTGCTTCAGCAACCTTCTTACTCTTCGGACATAGCCCCAAGTACCTTTTTTTATTCCCTTAGCTTAAAGCTGCGGTTGGGGGACAGCAACTATATTGAAATCAGTACGGTGAATATTTTTTGGACGGGCTGGAGCATGGGTGGGAGCGCTGTGTTGACTTTCAAAAAGCCTATGTTCATAAATAAAAACAAATGCCTAGTTGTTGCAGGATTACCCACAGAATACTAGGTTGAAACTATTGTTCTAAGTAATTAAAAAAAAAGTATACAAAGAATGCCCCTAGTTCCTTACCACTGTTTCATAATCGTTGCCATTTACCGTTAATATTTTGACGCCTATATAATATTTTGTGATAATTTATCGTTGATATTGAAGATGTGAAAATTGCGATTTGAGAACTTGTGACAAGTGACACGTATTGACTTATCTCTCAATTCTTTCATTCGACGTGTGCCTAATAATTTGGTATATCTGAATAAAATATTTAAATAAACCAACGCAAGGCAATGAGTTCACATCCAGTTTTCATAGATTTATCTCTAGATGAGCAGGTAATAGTCTAAAATACGAACTTTAATAAAACGCCAAGTTGTAATATTCATATGTGAGGTTATGTGATGCTTCGTGCTAAAAAAAACTTGGGCGCTTACAATATTAATACCTTTCATTAACAGGTGCAAGAGTTACGAAAATATTTTAAAAAATTAGGTGCGGAAATCTCGTCAGAGAAATCAAATAAAGGAGTTGAAGATGATTTGCACAAAATTATTGGCGTATGCGATGTTTGTTTTAAAGACGGTGAACCAACGCAAATAGATGGAATCCTAAATAGTATTGTTTCAATTATGATAACAGTAAGTAACTTGTACAATTAAGTATATATGTATATTAATCTCATTATTTTTGGAATATTAGATACCTTTGGATCGAGGGGAAAACATTGTCTTGGCCTACTGCGAAAAGATGACCAAAGCACCGGTCCAACCACTTGCCAAAGTGTGCTTGCAATCCTTATGGCGTTTGTTCAACAATTTGGACACTGCTTCACCCCTCCGCTACCATGTCTACTATCATCTAGTGCAAGTGGCCAAACAATGTGATCAAGTGTTGGAAGTGTTTACTGGAGTCGATCAGTTGAAATCGCAGTTCGCCAACTGCCCACCATCAAGTGAGCAGATGCAAAAGCTATATCGCCTGCTTCACGATGTTACTAAAGACACAAATTTGGAACTGTCCTCAAAGGTTATGATCGAGCTGCTGGGAACTTATACTGCGGACAATGCATGCGTTGCCCGAGAAGATGCAATGAAATGCATTGTCACGGCTTTGGCCGATCCCAACACATTTCTCTTAGATCCTTTGCTGTCCCTTAAGCCTGTGCGTTTCCTGGAGGGTGACCTTATTCACGATTTGTTGTCAATTTTCGTCTCGGAGAAATTACCATCATATGTTCAGTTCTACGAAGATCACAAGGAGTTTGTTAACACACAAGGCTTGAACCACGAACAGAACATGAAGAAAATGAGATTGTTGACTTTTATGCAGCTTGCTGAGAGCAACCCGGAAATGACTTTCGAAAATTTGACAAAGGAATTACAAATAACCCAGGATGATGTCGAACCTTTTGTTATTGAAGTGTTAAAGACCAAATTGGTCCGTGCCCGTCTTGACCAGGCTAACCGAAAAGTGCACATTTCGTCAACTATGCATCGTACATTTGGCGCTCCACAGTGGGAACAATTACGAGACTTGTTGCAAGCCTGGAAAGAAAACTTAGCCTCAGTGCGCGAGGGCTTGACGAATGTGTCATCAGCGCAAATGGATTTGGCGCGTTCGCAAAAGCTAATACATTAAATTTGCGTTATTGGATCTTAGAAAATGTAAGCGAAAGAAATAAATTCTAATCACTTTTTGCACAAGCAAAGCGAAAATAATTTACAAAATTCTCAGTATATGGACACTTTCTTTAATCAGTTTGGTGTAAACTAAATAAGAAATCATGTGAATCATTTGTATTAAAGTACATCTACAACTCCTCGTGCACTTTTGTACTCTGACGGTCTTTTTCTTTGGGATAAGCCCAAAAATATGATGGGAAGCCACGATAATCTCGTTCGCGCTTTACAAAGGCGCTATATGACGATATACAATTGCCAATGAAGTGATTTGACTGCCCGAGTATAGTTAGATCTAAGTATGGATCATTCTCTGGTAACTTATGAGCTGTAATATTCATGCGACTTAGTGCAGAATTTAGGTCGTCAATCATGTGGTTCGCATCGGATGCTACAAATATAGATTTGATTTGATTTTTTGGATACAGTTGACGAATGTTCTTTATAGTGCGCTTTAGCTGGCGCACAATCCCTTCTTTCGTTTGCATGCAGAGCTCTGGATACAGTATACCTCGTTCGTTTTTGTAACCTAGACACTGTGGGGATGCGAACAATTGTTGACTATCCTTGACATGCTCACAGGCGCGCACCCAATCGATACCATTGCGAAGATGAATGCCGACAAAAGCACCACGCGGCAATTTTTCGCGTATAAATTTATGAGCTGCGTCCAGGTAACTTGGAGTCCATTGTAAATACCTTTGCAAGCCTCGATTCTCTAGTTGCACAGGAAAGCTAGCAGGGGCGCCAGTAAACGCCAAGACAGGCCAAGAATTTGCCGAATATTTGGTTTTCCACTTAGTCGCCATGCTACTGTGATGCACATCAAAGTGCAACGGACCATAGAACTCGGAAGCAATAAAGTTAATGCCATAGGTGTCCCAAAAAGGGCCAAACGGGTTACCGTCTTTCGCATGACAGTCCGGAATACCCGGCGCGTTTTTAGCTTGCCCCAAACTTGTCCGTTCCATATAACAAAAGGACACACGTTTTTCAGTTGGCCAAACATCGGGGGCTAGCGTTGACATAAATTCAGACATCGTTATGACGCGGTGGTAATCGTGAAGAGGCACCACATCAAAATAAGTATCAAAAGGCACTTGGTATGAGCGCATTTCACCCTTGCGATATTCAACCCAAGGCGGAAGTATTAGGGTTCGATTAATTGCATGTGCAAATGCCAGTGAGCCCAAAAAATGGTCTGCCTGGTTACCAAAGCGTCCTGTTAAAAGAATTGTGGTGCGTTTTTAAAAATATAGGCCATATTTTCTCACCTTACCCATGCATGGGCAATAAGTAATGTAGCCATTTGGATCTCGATCTAAGCCGGTACAATCTGTGTTTATTAAAGCACAGAAAACGAATAGAAAAAAAGAGTTATATCGCTGCATTTTACCGGCTTCTGTGTACAGGTAGAGATGCAAAAATATCGATACGTCAAGCATTTAACAGTTCGTTGCATAGATGATTTCCAAAAAATCGGAGGTTTCCAATTTTGAAATATACGAGCCCTAATCCCTATTAATTGGTACTACTACTAGGTTTTTTTCTATAGTGCAACTTTCAATTACTTCTTTTAATTTGTGGGTGATGATTCCTCAAACATATTTATTCTTTTTAAAAAGGTCATTGAATTACCTTTCATTTCATATCAAAACGTGCACACGTTCCACATGACAATAATGCAAAAAAAAAAAAAATTAAAATAAGACAACTTTATAATACACGAAATATTAAAAAAAAGTAAAATGTCAACATAAATTGTAAAACTAACCTTATATAAAAAACATGATTTTGAGTTGTAATTTTTAATAAGTTTTCTAATTTGTGAGCACGATGGCAAATAGAAATATTCTATTTGGGCAACAGCTATGGCGAAGTATGAAAAAATCGTATCTACGGTACAGAATAAAGTGCAAAGGTGTAGAAAGATTGACAATATTCACAGTAATACAGCAAACGGATGTCGAGTCTCGAAAATTACTACACCTGACAAAAGAAATTTGTTGAATAAATTTCAAAATCAGCGAAGTACTGTGAGAGATATAGCGGCAAAATAGTCTGAAAATATTGGGAAAACAGTAAAACATGAATGGACGCCAAAAAAATGAAACGAACTTAATATGGGTTCTATAAGGTATGATTGCAGCTCCTGCTGAACATAACAAATAATTTTGATTTTTTCATGTCAAAGAATAACGTTTGCTCACAGCTTTACCAATAAAAAAAAAGACTGCTATAGGCAAGAAAAAGACAGAACTGGGTACTAAGGCACTGGAACTCTATTATTTTTAGCGATGAATCCAAATATTATGTGTTTGTCGTTGATGCTCAAAATCGAGTAATACGAATGCGTAAGGAGGCAGCAATCACAATGGTGAGGATGCATTTTAGCCAAGAGTGTGGGAAACTTTACTTCATATATGGAGCTGTACATGCAGAAATATACAAGTTCTTCTTACAAAGTAACCTCATTTCACAGCTTTGTGACTGTGCGGAATACTTTTCAACACGATGTAGCATCTACACACCCCAAAACAGGGGCGTTTCCCCCCCTTTGGAGCTGGAATTTTCCAAAAGCCTTTCTTAGTGTGCTCCTACACTATGATGCATACTATGAAAGGATACTTGAGTCCAAATTTCATCTTTTACCGTTTGGGTTGTGCGTTGATCACCAATTAGTCAGGACAAACTAGACTATGTGCAAAAAAGGGGAATAATTATAAGGGTATATCCTAATTTTAAATTCACATTTGAGTCTTTTCGTGCCATATTGAGTCAATACGGTCACGCACAAACTCGGAATATGAAACACGGCACTCGTGTCAATGCCGTGCAGCGATGAGCCACGATCAAAAAGCACTGACAATTCTCATCTCAATTTGCTAGAGTAAAACTTTCGATAGTTGAAGCCACCGATACCATCAAAATATCGAAGTTTGAATCCAATAAGCAGAATATTTAAATAATAAAATCTAATTATTTATTGACATCAATAAGAACAAATCATATACATACATACATATGTCCGCAATGCGAAGCAGAATATGCGTAGCTCCGTTATTCGGTTTCTGCTTTACTTGTATTATCGCTTGCGCAGTCGTTGCCTAGCGACGGTAACTGTAAACTTTTGGAGTTTTGCCTTTGCAATTAACATTAAATGGTCAAAACGAAAGAAGAAGAGCGAGCCAATGACTTGCAGTTGTTGTTGTTTTTAGAGCATTATTTTTTTTACAATCAAACAACTGTGTTCGATTGCCCAATGTATACATTAATACGAATGTACATACATGCTATATTCATACACAGGCATACATACATACATATGTATGTTTCTCTTTACTTTTTCAACCGTACGTAGAGAACCGCACACATAGACACGAACTGTTGCTTGTTGTGTGTGTGAGTGTGTGTATGTGATGTCCCCAAATTTTCTGTTAATTCCATTCAAACTTCGATGGAATTATTGATTGTATCGACGGATTCAACTATCGATAGTTTTGATGCTGTAGCACATAGAGCATCCGACTCATGCCCATCTCTAGCATCTCAGCTGATCGCATTGTTAGCTAACAACGCTACAAATGTATTCTGAACAAATCTAAGGGTCATTTATCGTTAAGCCTATTTTGTGAGTGTATTCATGCGATTTGCCAAAGCAGAAACACACCTTTTACATTCACAACATTCATATTTGGAATTGAAGACACACATTAGTGTTGAATTAAAAATTGTAATACATACTTATCTATGTACATATGTGTGTATGTATATAGGCGGATAACGCCTGTATGAAAAATTTAAATGTATGTACATATCAGCGTTGCCGAACGCTCCAGTTTTGGCGGGACGACCCGATTTATAAATCAAAATTAAATGTCCCGCGTCGGACTTTTCGGGGATAACTCGACCGTGCGTACAACGTGCTGAGGAAGCACACGGTTAAGTCAGGACTGGCAGTCCGCCCGGTGCGTAACGAAGATATGTACATATGTATGTATGTACGTATAACCATACATAGTACTTATTGTACATACTATATTTGCTATTTGGAAAAATAACTCTTTAAAAAACTTCAGAGAGCGTCGAAAGAATAATATCATATAGTAAATAAACTTATAATTATAAGCACATTTTACTTAGCTCAGCAAAGACGGGCAAGAACTGCTAGTCATTAAAATAAAGCTGAAGAACGACCCACAACATGATCTGTCTGGATTAAAATCCAAATTTCAGAAAATGTTGTACTTTATAACTTTGGAAGAATGTCTAAATTTAGTTAATACTATTAAAACGAGAATAAAAGCTGTTATTAAAAATAAATAAGTAGAGAAGCTAAAGTCGGGTGCCCCGACTTTGAATGTTTAGAATAATTATAAAAATTTAAAAAATTAAGAAAATTAAAGAAAAATTTCGATTTCACGTAAAGGGTGTATAATTTCACATTTACATTGAAATTGCTCCTATGTGAGTGAATGCATGTGTATGCGTGTCTACTCGTGTCTGTGTGAGCATGTTTGCAGTCAACCAAAGCACCAACATCAACAACAGCTGCGGGCAGCGATTATATTTATGGCTATAACTTCCTGTTAAATCGGTCTATCATAATGAAACTAGGCATACGGACATAACTGGGGGTATTAGCAAAATTTGAGTTCGAAATTCCAAGAATTACGGGAGTTAGGGAAAATCCCATAAGGCTTCTTGGACTAAAATTTTGTGCTCCTAGGTCTTATAGTCCCCGAGATATAGGTGATTATACGAATGGCATTTCAGAAAATCCCCCATAGGGGGAGGTGAGGGGCAAATTAAAAAAAAAAACAAGATAGAACGCTACAGTCGAGCAAGCCCGACAGTAAATAGCCTGTACTCTCCACAAAAAAGAAAAATTAAAAAAAAAAAATGAAAAAACAATTTAATTATTAAAAAAATGAATGAATTAATTAAATTAAATTAGAAGACATGTTTATGTTCAGTTTTAACAGCATACATTTACATCACGTACCTATGCGTGTTTATATGCGTGTATGTATGCAGCACAAAGTTGAACCAAAGCAGCAACAACAACAACAGCTGCGGGCAGCGCTGCCGACAGAGCTGCAGGCAGCGATTTTACTTATGGCTATAACTTTCTTCAGAATTGACCTATCATGATGAACGGACACGGACACATTAGTACTAACTGGATGTACCTACAAAAATTGATTTCAAAATTCCGAGAATTACGGAAGTTATAAGAAAAAACATGAATTGCGCGAGAGTGGAGGGGTGCATCAGAAAAAAAAACACAAACTCGTCCTTTCTTGGACTTAGGAGAACGTGGATACCAAGTTTGGTTATCCTAGCTCTTGTACTTACTGAGATCCTTGCGCTCATACAGACAGACGGACATGGCTATATCGACTCGTCTTCTCATCCTGATCAAGAATATATATACTTTGTGGGGTCTGCCACGCCTCCTTCTGTGTGTTACATACATGCGCACAAAACTAGTGTAGCCTGTTACCCTTTGGGTACAGTCTATAAATATTGTGGACGCCCTCCTCCGTGATTCTCATACTAAGTACCTAAACGATGGAAAATCGAAAAGTAAATAGTTAAATTTCTGAAAAATGAAATTGAAATGTTGTACCAGGAACCTAAGCGCTGGCAAATCCAGAATTATATTGTTAAATTAAATAGAGGAAAATATGAAATTAAAGTATTGTAGGCGTCCTCTGCGATTCTCATACCAAGAACCTAAGCGCTGACAAATCCAGAATTAAATTGTGAAATTTCTAAAAAATTATATAATTATATTGTGAAATTAAATAGAGAAATTTCTGGAAAAATAAATTAAAACATTGTGGGCACCTTCCTCTGCGATTCTCATACCAACTACCTATGTAACTGCTGGCAAATGGAGAATTAAATTGTGAAATTTCTGAAAAATTAAATAAGTATATTGTGAAATTAAATTTTTCATGCAGGCGTTTTCCGCCTATATACATACATATATAAGTATGTATTAAATTTTTTAATTCAACACTAATTCAATTCCAAATATGATTGTTGTAAATGCAAAAGGTGTGTTTCTGCTTTTGTAAATCGCATGAATACACTCACAAAATATGCTCCACGGTAAATGACACTTATATTTGTTCAGAATACATTTGTAGCGTTGTTAGCTAACACTAAAACGGTAAGTCGCTGTAAATATGCGATCAGCAGAGATGCTAGAGATGGGCATGTGTCGGATGCTCTACATCAAAATTATCGATAGTTGAATCCGTCGATACAATCAATAATTCCATCGAAGTTTGAATGGAATTAACAGAAAATTTAAATAATAACATCTTATCATTTATTGAGATCAATTAGAACAAATCATATACAAACATACATACAGATGTACATCTGCCCGCAACGCGAA